TCACTCACCTCAGCCTCCCAAAGTACGGGATTACAGGCTGAGCCACTGAGCCCGGCTGCAAAAATTTTTTTTTAGTTGGAGTCTCTGCTGTCCAGGCTAGAGGGCAGTGCCGCATTTACAACCATCGCAGCCTTGATCTGCTGGGCTTAGGCGATCCTTCTGCCTCAGCCTTCCAAGTAGCTGGAACAACAAGCCTGGGTTACCACGCCCACCATTTTGTTTTGTTTTTTTAGTTGGCCTGCCTTTTTTTTTTTTGATTTATCGTAGAGATGAGGTCTCACCAAGTTGGTCAGGCTTATCTCAAAACCCCGGGCTCGGGCAATTTTCTCGCCTTGGCTTCCCAAAGTGCTGGGATTACAGGCTGAGCCACCGTGCCTGGCCTCATCACTACAATAAATAAAAAATTCCAGCTACTCGAAAGGCTGGGGTGGGAGGATAACCTGAGTTCAGCAGGTTGAGGCTGTGGTGGTCGCGAGCGTGCCCCTGCAAGACACGATGAGACACTGGCTCAAAAAATAAAATAATAATTATGATGATAATAATAATCGCCTGAGCCAATGAGTTCAAGACCATCCTGGGCAGCACAGCAAGAGGCCATCTCTACGATAAATAGAAAAATCAGCCGGGCTCGGTGGCTCAGCCTGTAACCCCGTGCTTTGGGAGGCTGAGGTGAGTGGATTGCCTGAGCCCATGGGTTCAAGACCCGCCTGGGCAGCGAGACCTCATCTCTACAATAAATCAAAAAATCAGCCGGGCATGGTAGTGCATGCCTGCAATTCCGGCTACTTGGAAGGCTGAGGTGGAAGGATTGCCGGAGCCCAGCAAGTAGAGGCTGCGGTGGCTGGGAGCAGCCACTGCACTCCAGTCTGGGCGACAGAGTGAGACTCCAACTCAAAAAATAAATAAATAAATAAAAATAAAATAAAATAATAATGATGATAATAATCGCCTGAGCCAATGGGTTCAAGACCATCCTGGGCCCATCTCTACAATAAATAGAAATATCAGCCGGGTTCGGTGGCTCAGCCTGTAATCCCGCGCTTTGGGAGGCTGAGGTGAGTGGATTGCCTGAGCCCGCGGGTTCGAGACCCACCTGGGCAACTTGGTGAGACCTCATCTCTACAATAAATAAAAAAAATGAGCCGGGCGTGGCAGCGGGCGCCTGTAGTTCCAGCTACTTGGAAGGCTGAGGCGGAAGGATCGCCGAAGCCCAGCCGGTCGAGGCTGCGGTGGCCGGGAGCGGCCACTGCACTCCAGTCTGGGCGACAGCGTGAGACTCCGACTCAAAAATAAAAAAAAA